TATATATATATATTATATATCATATATATATATATATATATATATATATATGGTGTGTGTGTGTATATATGTATTATATTTATATATATATAATCAATGAAATATCTCATTCATATACAATACCCCTTTCCGAAATTGCCTTTCCTTAGGCCAGCGATCTGGAAGAACATCGTATGATGGAGTCTAGTACCAATATTAGTGATCCTGCATTCGGTGGTCTAGACCTGAGCATGGAAGTGCATGGTTCAGACATGCTCACATCTACACCCAAGGTCTTCTCATTGAAACGTAAGAGAGGGTCAGATTTTTTGTGGGTGCGCTGCATATACAACCAAGCACGCAATCTTGCGTTTGTACGAAAGAGTACTCGTATGCGTTTAATGACCACTGGGCACTTTTAGTTTCGTGTATTGCTTAGCTCTACATGAAACCTTTTAAAATTTAATAATCTGGAACATATGAACTACAGATTCGTCATGTGCGTGTTTTCTGTGTCGCATGGCTCCTATAAACTTGTATGTGCTGGATACAAGTAACACATGTCTGTTCATTAACCACTGAGTACATCATCAGTGGCAAGACAGCAATCCACTTATACACCGACTACTCGACGTTATCCTTGCATTGCTATTCTAATGGCCTTTTATCGTGACTGTGAGTAGGGGACATGCGGATGCGTCGAGGAACCAGTAGTGGTTCTGGGTCAGACAGTAGTATGCCGCGTAAAGCTCCGAAACTGGGGTAAGTATACATATAACACGTGCATATGCAACATATGTGGCCACATGTGTATGCGACTACGCACATATGACATGTTCCAGATTGTAAGCATTTGCAAGAAACATCTACTGAACACTTCAACCTACTGTGAAATATGTGGAGGAAGATGTGTACAACGACAGATACTCAGCCTGTCAATCAGTACGACACCAGTCATCAAAGTCAAAGAAAATCAGATATCTGGCAGGGGGGTGTAGGAGAACTCGCATACCATTGGAGGAAAGCTGAAATGTCAGTTGTTCTAAAACAACCTATCTTAGTGATACCTGTGAGCAAGTCGACTACATAAACCCCAAACCCCTTTGGACGAAGGGGTTATGAACACACTGACTCGCACTATGTAGGCTGCACTGTATAACTCTCATACAGTAGTTGTAAGATGAACAATTCATATCTCAATGTAGAGCATGTACGTCCACATCGTGGTAACAAGCACATCTGCATGCCATTTGTGCGCACAACTTCTACTTCAGCATACATTGCACATCCCACTAAATGCAAAGCCTTCACATGCATTCGCATACCACAGTAGAGCGCATATCAACAATGATACACACACAGTCACCAGTTTGGTGTACTTATACAAACATCATGTTACGCATTCGTCCACGAATATTGGGTTTATACACACCTGCTTGTATACACTGGCTTACACGTCTTGGCGTACTTATCATCTGATTCACATGCGCAACACTCGGCGAGGTAGCATCGATGCTGAAAGTAGCGATGGAGGTGCTGGCGAAGGGTTCATTGGTGACTCGTCAGGGGTATGTCTATATACACCTATATTTGCACAGCCAAGTCAACTTCCTGTTATATATTTCTGTACATAGATACGTGCGCCCGTATGACTATACACATGTATTGATGTGTAATAGTAAAATGTTTTATATCTGCTATACATACGTCCGTTCCAAATTATTTTGAGCATATCTCCATACCTCTATTTTCACAAATTATCCACTAAATAACTGTTCCTCCGCTCTTTCTAATAGCAGTGGGGATTCCACACCAAAGATATAAGACCAAAGAAATAAAAACAAGTATCGCTGCGAGTGGTATTCATATTACGACTTAAATAAACGCTTGTCGCATTTTATTCAGGCTTTAGGCAGAGATATAAGAAACAATGTTGCAGACGGAAACATACATATAGATGGTGTGCTGTATTCCACACCAAACATATATCTACCCATATACCTGACAAATCAGTAATGTGACTAAAGAGTTGTTCCATAATCCATATAGGCTGCAAGCAGAGATCCAGGCACGGCGGCCCTCAGCCAGGCCTTGACAACGGACACCCAGCATTTCTACAGGTACAATATATACACTCGCAGGCGTACATACACTCGCACGCGTATACGTCCATGCCTTCACAAGTACGGAATACGTACATATACACGTGCCTATAAACCGATACACGTGTACACATACCTACACACATGTAGACACACTTATATATGAGTAAAAATACCTGCTACCGCAGTTCCGATATGCAGACGCGCGAGTATGATGCACACTCACATAACGCATTTTACATAATTTAAAAAATACAGTGTATAGCCTTGCATACGGAAGTATTCACTCGTACAGTTTTGTGTACATACTACACCATGCACGCATATGTAGACTCCCCAAGGTCAAACTTATCGTCGAAAATAAGTTTCTATGGTCTTTTCTTGTGGACTATATTCTGTCATATAAATACGTAAATATATATAAATACATATATAAATTTATATATTTATT